CAGTCCCTGCCCTCTAGTACATCGAACATCTAGGTAAATAAAATTCCCTCATCACCAACTTTTAGAGGATCCTGAGAAGATGGTCACAAAAAGCCTCAATCACCTTATCTTTCAGCATCCCATAAATCCATGCATTAAACATATTTATAATAATAATCTCCTAATTTAGAGGATTCACTGTACAGGTCAGCATCTTTTAGCTCATTATTTTTAGTTAAAATAAATATATTCCTATCCATTGGGTAGCTGGAAGGGATTTTCAGGCCTAGCAAATACTCAGAAAAGCAACATCTCTATAGTGCAATAGAAAAAAAAGTTGACTGCTTAGAATGGAGCTACATCTTAGTGGCGCATATCACAAGGACATTAACAGCATTCACAGCAGTCGGGTCTTTCTGCTGCATTTTGACATGCTCTGGTTTTCTTAACCAAGTATTCTGAAGCCTGGAAATACAGCCAGTTTGGACCAGCAGTATGTTTTGACAGGAATCAAAAAGCACTTTGCTAGCCTAGAAAGTTTCATTTAAGACGTACGGTACTTACATTGCATGCAAGTTTGTATTTGCTGCAGTACAGCCTGTCACCAGTGAGTATGTGTCTACAATTAGAGGTAAAAAAACCTCTATGAACTACCTGAGAGGACATTACAAATAGACCAAATCCAGGCTACCACTACCTCACTGTAACTGAACACAAGTACTACACATTCATCCTTTTACACAATGCATTGAGCAGGGAGAGAGCAATAAATCCAGAAAGCTGATGGAACAGCCTCACTGACAATGCACACAGAACATCAAGCAAGAAATATTCTATCCCAATTAGTGTAACAGAATGGCTGTAGTGATATTCTAGGGGAATCTGTGCTGTCCTCTGCAGCGAGACAACAGATTGCAATTTTTCCTACTCTTAAATGAACCACTCCTCCCACCTTCGCATTTATAGGATTCTTAAAACCAGCTAGTCTGCTAGATTCAAAGTGGAAACTCTCACAACATGACTCAAGTGACTCATCTGAATGGAAGAGATTCAATTATGACATTTCCTCAACCCAGGCCAGTGCCTTTCACAGGTATTACAAGAGCTTTAGACACTGTTTACTCAATCCCACTAACATCACAGGAGGTTACAACACACGGAGCTCCTGTATTCTGAGAGTTCCCACACTAATATCCTTGTTACATGAGGCTGCTATTTCTAAGTGCAGCGATGCTCTAAGACTCATGCAGCATAAAGCCCTGCTTGTTAAGAGAATCTAGCAAATACTCCAGAAGAATGAGAAATGAGGAAAAT